CCAAGGTCTATGGCTTTGTATTTATACCGAGGTGTGTACCCGGCAGTCCCCTTGCATTGCTATCTTCAAAACACATACAACTCAGAACAATGTTGACATGGACATGTTCTGGAGAAGCAGACTTGTAGACCGTACATCAAGAAGGGATAAGACAAGTTCGTTCCTCCAACCCTGATGTTATTACAATTAATGGATTCTGGACTGAAGGGAGAGTGAGTAAGACATAGTGAGAAGTAAGTGTCCTTTGGTAGAGGAGATTTGAAAGCTAGCTCCAGATGGTGTTGGGTTTGAAAGGAAAATTAAGGCTGAATATTGGAAAAGGTTTTCAAAGCAATGACCACAAGCTTAAGATCTTCATTTTTGCAAAGGTGAGACCCATATACATGGACGTGTATTCCAGACTTTACGCTTGAGCTACCTGTAGAGACTGATATGAGACTATTAGCACTTCTGATGCCTCAACTCCCCAAAAGTAACGACCACAAGCTTAAGACTATCTTCATTCTCGCAGTGGTGAGACCCACATACACAGATGTGTATTTCTGACCTTACGCTTGAGCTACTTGTAGAGACTGATATGAGACTATTCACACATCTGATGCCTCAACTTCTCAAAAGTAACTACAAGCTTAAGACTATCTTCATTCTTGCAGTGACGAGACCCACATACACAGATGTGTATCTCTGACCATACGCTTAGCTACTTGTAGAGACTGATACAAGACTATTTCCACCTCTGATGTCTCCCACTCCCCAAAAAGCCTTAACAATGGCAAGAAGGTTAATGTTAAAGTTCAAGAATATAGATGGACTTTGGGATTTTTTTGTCCAGGGACAAATATCTACGTCTCCAAATGGTGAGAAAGAATGGTGGCCTTGGAAAGCCAATCCTTTCAATATCTCCTTCAAGCTGTATCTGCATTTAGTATGGATTCTGGTCATATTTAGGACTGTAGGGATGGCAAGAAGGTTAATGTTAATGTTCAAGGGAGAATAAGTAAGACATATTGAAAAGTAAGTGCTTTTTCATCACTTCCATCGCTGTCTTCAAAACACATACAACTCAGAGCAATGTTTCATGGACATGTTCTGGAGAAGCAGACTTATAGACTGTACGTCAAGAAGGGATAACACAAGTTCGTTCCCCAACCCTGAAGTTATTATAATTCATGGATCATGTTTAGGACTGAAGGAAGAGTGAGTAAGACATATTGAAAAGTGCTCTTTGGTGGAGGAAATTTGAAAGCTAGCTCAAGATGGTGTTAGTTTTGGAAGGAAAATTAAGGCTGAATATTGGAAAAGGTTTTCAAAGCAATGACCACAAGATTAAGAAGATCTTCATTCCCGCAGTAATGAGACCCACATACACAGATGTGTATTCCAGACCTTAAACTTGAGCTATTTGTAGAGACTGATACAAGACTAGTAGCACGTCTGATGTCTCCCACTCCCCAAAAGGCCTCAGCAATGGCAAGGAAGTTAATGTTAAGATTCAAGAACATAGAGGGACTTTGGATCCTTTTTGTCCTGGGACAGAGATCTATCTCTCCAAAGGACAAGAAAGAATGGTGACCTTGGGAAGCCCAACCTTTAAATATCTCCTTCAAGCTGTCTCTGCATTCAGGACGAACATCTACTTGGCTAACATCTTCTTCCCACCCAAACAAGAAACAAAAAGCCAAGCTATCAGAGAAATGTAAGTCCCAAAGCAAGATTATTCTCTCAATTAAGTCATTTTTAATATCTGAGAAGATACACAGAATTGGAAGGGAGACAGATCGCTCAATCTCCTTCAAGCTGTCCCTGCCTTCAGTACAAACATCTACTTGTTGACACCTTCTTCCCACCAAAACAGGAAACTAAAAGCCAAGCTATCAGAGAAATGTAGGACCCGGAGCAAGATTATCCTCTCAATTAAGTCATTTTAGCTTGTAATATCTGAGAAGATACACAGAACTGGAAGGGAGACAGATCACTAATTTTTACTTCTGGCTTCCCAACTGTAAGTTTCAGAACGATGGGTAGCAATGCCTGCTGTGTCTTGCCAGCGTTGGCACTGATCTGGATTAGGAAAAGAAGATAATTGGCGGCAGTGTTGTGTTCAAAATAGCTGTTAGGAAGGAAGGGGAAGAAAGCCATTTAATGTCTTGCTGTTCTTTGGAAAGGATCAATACATTTCAGAGAAAGATCACAACGGCTCAAAGAAGCTTCAAGTCAATGCTGGCTATTCCATGGAAACAAAGGGCTGCAGGATCAGCTCACGAACTGAAACCCTTCTAGAGTAAACATGGAACGAGTAGGAGTCCATCTTTAGGACATGGGAACTGCTTTTTGCACACATTCACCATGGTTATGCAGCTGTTTCTTGTCTGAAATGCTAATTTGTGAGACACGAGAGAGGCCTAGATTGTAATCGAGATAAACACACATTTAATCCAGTGGATCTGAGGCAGTAGTTCTCGACTAGTGGGTCCCCAGATGTTTTGGTCTTCAACTCCCAGAGATCCTAACATCTGGCAAACTGACTGGGATCTCTGGGAGTTATAGGCCAAAACATCTGGGGACCCACAGGTTGAGAACCACTGATCTAAGGAGCTAGAAGACAGAGGAAGGCTCACATCGTCCTCCAAATGCTGTTGAGCAACTGCTAGTGATTGATCTTGAAAGTTGCAATAGGTGGGAAATAACATTCTTCCCATCACTGATCTAGAAGGAGGGCACCACCAAGTCATCTTTCTCATATATTTGCTTTCTGGAGAGCATGTGAATACCAAATAAGGTTGAATATTTACCAGGACACATTTTTGTTTTTCCTATGACCGTAAAAAAGAAATTGCATTCAGAAAATTGTCATCTCTTGGGGCTGAAAAATGGTAGAGAAGCAAAATGTTTAAATATACATTTCATTGCAGGCATTCACGAATAAATCTTTATTTTTCCAAGAAAGGGGGGCTTTGTTTGCAATATAGCTTTCCAGGAAACCCCAATTGCTCACTGGAGGAAGAGAAACAGAATGTGGTATAGAGGGGAAGAGGGCTTTCCTTTGGGATGAGTGCTCGGTATGTAGTCCATGGGGATTAGGAAACAGCCTGGAAAATGCTGCCTTATTTTGGAGAGCTTGAAGCATCGAATTGAACTGTGTTTCTTTGTGAATTCCTACATCCCCTCCATCTAAGAAATCAGGTATGTTTTCCTATGGTAAGAGGGGGAAACGAGGCTCGTTTTAGTCCATGAGAACAATTAGGAGCAGAAGAAAAAAAGAGTCGCTATTATCAATGATGGAAGGGAAATGTGTTTCATGTTTCCAAGTTGCATCCCAAAAGCAGGGAAAGGGCAACTGGCAGAACTCAAAGAATGGCGCTACGCAAGGTTTGAGGAACGACAGCTCACGAGCAAAAAGCAAATCTATGTTTTTGGCTTATGGAACGGGGACCGAAAAACAGCCTGCAACTCAGCAGTAGCAACTTCCTTTATGTTTTTAGATTAAGTAGAGTTTTACAACCATGGAATGAATATGTGGAATTTAACAAGGTAAGTTATCACTGCAGAGGACGTTCCTTGTCCAAAGAGAGTCTTCATGGTCAGGCAAGGGGCACTCGACCTTTCCTCCCTGACTTCAAAATGCAGGAATCTTGAGACAGTTTGCTTTCCAAGGCCCCTTAGGACACAAGACTCGGCAAGGCAAGACTAGATGCTCTCTCGGCAAAGCAATTACTTTCTAATCCAGAACAGCAGGAAGCACACACTTTGGGGACAAAATTATCTCCATTCCCAACACTTATCCCAAGCTAGACGGTAGATGTTCGGAAACAAAGGCTTGGAATACAAAACTGAGTGGATTCAAAGTGGAAACAGCCCACTTCACGGGGCACATTACTAAACAGTCCTGACTGCTAGCAGAAAGAAGTATAGGCAAAATACAAAAGCAACTGCTCTGCTGGAAGCCAAGGCCTTTCCCATTCTGAAAACCCTTTGGACGTTCGGATTACTGATGATGTCTAAGGCAGTGGCAGTTTCCTCTCCGCAACTGAGCAGCTTGGCTCCCTTCCAATGGCTGAAGTATCTCAATTTCCTCTTACGGTAGTCTGTTTTGCATTTCTGTGACCTGCCAAAGTTCAGCCCAGCTGACTTCTCTCCCAACCCGTCGGCAGAGAAAAAATAATAATGTCCAGTTCAGAGCAGGTTTGGTGAGGCACCATGGAGGAAAACCGCAAGGGAGGGCAGGGGGTGTCCACTGACAGCTGGAAATGGCAGCTGGAAATTCAAGTAAGCTTCAGTGCACAACCCACAGCAAGCTCTAAAAGCCTCGGAGTCGTCCTAGGGGATTCCAAATGGGGCGGGAAGGTGACGTCAGGCGGAGGCTTTGCACTCAAAACACTGGCTGAAGGTGTGTGCTGGCATCAGTCACACCCACAAGGAAAACACCCACACATACAGCATATGCATACATAATGCTAAAACATAATTAAAAAGTGCAAGAACATACGTTTCTTTAGAACAGACACTTCTCCATCACCATTCTGAGAAGGGCAACATCACATAAAACCAGTAAATCAAGGCAACTGGAAGAGTAGATTGCAGTTCTCTTGCTCTTGGCTTACTATCATGGAATTTGGTGGAGTGCAGTTTAAGAAGGGTCAGATCGGAGCCGCCAGAGCAGCTGAAAACGAAGCCATTTGGAAGAAGAGGAGGAACTGGACCCTCAGAAAGCCATCCTCTCCGCCGCCACCTGAAGTCTACACGCAGTTCCCAAAGCTCTTCGCAGCCGGTGGCAGGGAGTGGAGAAAGCATATTGAGAGAGGGGAAAAAAGAGAAAGGGAGCAGGAACAAAGCACATTCACCAGGAACGCTCCCTTTGTGGAACTGTTGTACAGAGATGAAGGAGGGAGGGAAGGAAGGAAGGTAGCCAGCCATCCTTCCATCAAGGGCAACCAGTGCCTGAGAGGATGCGGCCCCACTTCCAAAAGGAGCCTCAGGTGTGAAGTGAGCAACAGAGAACATTTAGGGAATCCACCTGAATGTTTATTCTGGGTATTCTCCCCTTTCCTCTCCCTCTCTCTTGCACGCTCTCTCTCCTTTTTGGTTTGGAAATGTCCCTTGTTTCTCGTCCTCTCCCCAAGAGAAGCCCCATTCAATAAGACGTGGCAGGAACAGCAGGTAAACAAAGTCCCCCAAAGATTTCAAGGAAACACCTGTCATTTCTGGCGCTGGGAAGACTTCCTTCGTTTCCTCTTATAGAAGCAGCAGCACCTGGAGCACAAAGAACACAGCAAATCAATACAGGCAACCTGGGGCCTCTGGCAAGCCCCCGCTTTCCAACACATAAGGGACGGGCTCCACATCTTCACGTTCAAGAGCATCCCATGCGCATGCGCTCCCAAACCCACCCCTCTCCTGCAAAAAACGGATGGACAAAGAGCCTTTGGAGAAGCCACAACACACTCCGGGGAAGCATGCAGTTTTGTTTGCAAAGGCAAGTTCAAGGAGGGTTACTAGGACTAATTCTAGCTTCTGGCTTGGTTTGCATTTTCCACAACGAATGTACACACACCCCAACAACATGGACATTGCAGCTTCCATCAGAACAGCTCATAATCCCAAAGACCACTTCCTGGAGGAGTATGCTGAAGGAATGTCACAACTGGAACAAACAAAGAGCCTTTGGAGAAGCAACAACACACTCCGGGGAAGCATGCAGTTTTGTTTTCAAGGGCAACTTCAATGAGAGTTACTAGGACTAATTCTAGCTTCTGGCTTGGTTTGCATTCTGCACAGCTAATGTACACACACGCCAACGATACAGACATTGCACCTTCCGTCACAACGGCTCACAATCCCAAAGACCACTTCCTGGAGTATGCTGAAGGAATGGCACAACTTTGACCAACCACTTTCACAAACAGAGATTATGTGTTTGCAGTACAAGAAATGAACAAGGCCTTATTTGGACAAACAGGATGCTTCCAAACTGTGGCTGATTGTTAGGATATATCAGAGCCATGAAGATAATAATTCCCAAGTGGGAGGCTTCTAGAACAGACAGAGAAAACCCACCATGGTTGACAACAAATACAAGAGAGGATTTAAAAAGGAATATAGGAGAAAGATGTAAACAAGGGTATATTGGGATGAAGGTCCAGCCATGGCCAAAGGGTAAGTTGCCTTGATCCGGAGGTTTCAAAACACATGAAGTGAAATTCTGAGAGTACTACTTAATTTTTCTTCTGTCCATGTATTCTGGATGACTGGATTGGCACAGAACAGAAACTACCTTTTTTGTCAACATCTCTCCCAAAATTTATGTACAAACCGCTAATTTCACTGCTCGAAAAGCTAGGGTTGACGTGAATTAAATACAGAACAACCCCTGTATCCATGGGGGATGCATTCCAAAACCTCCTATGGATACCTGAAACCACAGATAATAGCAAAACCTTTATTTTGACTATACTTGAGCCAGAAGCATAACATCGCAGAAAGGCCCACAAATACTTGCAGAAGGGTTTTTTTTGGGAGTGCAGGTAAATGCAACTGTAGACAATGCGTCTGTAAATAAGATAGTCATATTACTGTACTTAAAAACCTTTAATTGGAGGTGGCTGTAAGACCTTTTTTTAAATGGCGTATTAGCCACTTCCTGACCTATTGCCTTTTTTTGTAAAATTTATTTATTTACTATATACCGTCCCTCTCAGCCCGCAGGCAACTCGGGACGGTTTACAGTTGGTGCCCTTCTCACCCCGAAGGGGCCTCAGAGCAGCTTACAAGATAGATATATATACATACAATATATTAAATTATTAGCATAGTACAATATCAGTATTATATATTGATATATTGTCGTACACAATTATATTGTAGTATTATTAGTAATATTACATGAAATATAAAATATATAATTATAATATTGTATTATTATTAGTATTATATTGCATTACGTTATAATATAAATATTATATGTATATACAATATATTATATTATATTATATTATATTATATTATATTATTAGTAAAGCACAGGAGACAAGATGGAACTGTCAACTATAACAAGAAGAGGGGAGAAAAAAACCCTAAAGGCCTAAATCAAGGGTAGGAATTATGTAGCCTTCTGGTTGTTGCTGGACAGTTCCAGCCAGCATAGGCAATGTGATGAATGATAGAAGCTACAGTCCAACAATCCCTGAAGGGCTATATTCGGGGTCCTCAAACTAAGGCCGGGGGCCGGATCTGGCCCTCCAAGATCATTTACCCGGCCCTCGCTCAGGGTCAACCTAAGTCTGAAATGACTTGAAAGCCACAGCAACAACAACAATTCTATCTCATCAGCCAAAAGCAAGCCCACACTTCCCACTGAAATACGAATAAGTTTATATTTGCTAAAATTATTCTTCATTTTAATTATTGTATTGTTTTTAAATGTCTTTTGCACTACAAACAAGATATGTGCAGTGTGCATAGGAATTCATTCATGTTGTTGTTTTTTCTAAATTATAATCTGGCCTTCCAACAGTTTGAGGAGCTGTGACCTGGCCCTCTGTTTAAAAAGTTTGAGGACCACTGGGCTATAAAGTAATCTAGAGCAGGGCTTAAATATTTTCTGCAGAGACCACTGTAAACATTGCACATTAATGCTAACAATTTTGTGTTAATGAAGAGCATTCAGAAATCGTATGTATGTTGTGCTTTGCCCTGAGTCCCCTGCAGAGTGAGATGGAATATCAATGTTTTAAATAAATAAATAAGAAGGGCTCATAGCCCTATGAGAGAGTTTGAGGAAGAAGCACAAATGAGTCCCTGAATTCAATTCAAAACGATCTTGACAGATTAGAGATTGGCCAAAATTAACACAATGAAGTTTAACAGTGACAAATGCAAGAGACTCCACTTACGCAGGAAAAACGAAATGCAAAGATACAGAATGGGGGACGAGGCCTGGCTCGAGAGCAGGACGTGTGAAAAAGATCTCAGAGTCCTCGTGGACAACAAGTTGAACATGAGCCAACAGTGTAATGTGGCGGCAAAAAAAGCCAATGTGATTTTGGCCTGCATCAATAGGAGCCTAGTGTCTAGATCTAGGGAAGTCATGCACACCTGGAATATTGTGTCCAATTCTGGGCACCACAATTCAAGAGAGATATTGACAAGCTGGAATGTGTCCAGAGGAGGGCGACTCAAAGGATCAAGGGTCTGGAGAACAAGCCCTATGAGGAGCAGCTTAAAGAGCTGGGCCATCCGGTCCAACTCCCTGTCAAGAAGCAGGAATATTGCATCCAAAACACCCCTGATAGATGGCCATCCAGCCTCTGTTTAAAAGCCTCCAAAGAAGGCGCCTCCACCACACTCCGGGACAGAGAGTTCCACTGCTGAACAGCTCTCACAGTCGGGAAGTTCTTCCTAATGTTCAGATGGAATCTCCTTTCTTGTAGTTTGAAGCCATTGTTCCACGTCCTACTCTCCAGGGAAGCAGAAAACAAGCTTGCTCCCTCCTCCCTGTGACTTCCTCTCACATATTTATACATGGCTATCATATCTCCTCTCATCCTTCTCTTCTTCAGGCTAAACATGCCCAGCTCCTTAAGCCGCTCCTCATAGGGCTTGTTCTCCAGACCCTTGATCACTTTAGCCGCCCTCCTCTGGACACATTCCAGCTTCTCTATCTCTCTTGAATTGTGGTGCCCAGAATTGGACACAATATTCCAGGTGTGGTCTAACCAAGGCAGAATAGAGGTCTAACCATGACTTCCCTAGATCTAAACACTATGCTCCTATTGATGTAGGCCAAAATCCCATTGGCTTTTTTTGCCGCCACACTCATCCAACGTTCTGTATTATCCAACACAGTCTGCCTCCCGCCTGGATCCACAGCTGTTCCAATATATTGCGATGTTTTGGTGCCAAATTCGTAGATACAATAATGACTACATAACGTTCCTGTGTATTGAACTGCTTTTTCTCTCAATTTGTTGTAAAAACATGATGTTTGGGTGCTTAATTTGTGAAAAAATAATATAATTTGAGGTTTAATAGGCTTTTTGTTAATCCCTCCTTATTATTCAACATTTTTGCTTATCCAGCATTCCGCCAGTCCATTTATGTTGGATAAGCAAGACTCTATTGTACTAAGTAACACACCTGGCTTCCCTTACTTAGTATTTCTATTTGTACCACCAGTGGGAGCTTTGCTAAAGATGGCTTCTCACACATGACAAGCATATGTCCATTTTTGAGACAGAAAAGTTGCCTCAAGATGATGGTGTCCTCCCTAAAGAAGGAATGACAGCCTTGGGAAAGTCAAAACGTTGTCATCTTGCCAATTTAACTATATCCTAAATGTTGTTTTTGAAAGAATGATGTCAAACTGAGATATCATGTGGCAGTTAAACTTTCAAGTCACTCTGCAAGCACAAAAATAGGAAATCACCCAGTTTTGATTTTTCCTTTCAACAATGCAAATGAGTAGTTCCATAGTGAAAGTGGCACCGTAAATGCTACTGAGTAAAGAAGTCTAGAACTAAAGTCCAGTCCTTGGTACCAGTTGCATAATACATTATACTGTATTTGAGTATCTACTTTTTGGTATTCTTTCTTTCCAAGTCACCTAAAGAAGACCAAACACTAACTCCAGCTGCTTACCATGCACCTAGCTCAGGGATGGGCAAACCCAGGCCTGGATGCGGCTCCTTGAGCTCTTTTCTCAGGCCCTCCTCTCTCTCACCACCCTATCCTTCCTTCTCTCTTTGCTTCCCCCTTCCCTCCCCTCCCTTACCTCCCTCTTTCTCCCTCCTTCCTTCCCTTTTCACCCTTTCTTCCTTCTTTCCCTCTTTCCTCCCTCCATCTGCCCTTTTTCTTTCTCCTTCCTTCCTTCCTTCCTTCCTTCCTTCCTTCCTTCCTTCCTTCCTTCCTTCCTTCCTTCCTTCCTTCCTTCCTTCCTTCCTTCCTTCCTTCCCTCCCTCCCTCCCTCCCTCCCTCCCTCCCTCCCTCCCTTTTGTCTTTCCTTCCTTCTCTCTTTCCTCTTTCCTCCCTTCCTCCCATCCTTTTTTCTCTTTTTCCTTCCTCCTTTCCTCCTGGGGGATGAGGAGAAGGTTGAGAGGGAGCATGAGAACCATGTTTCCAGACTTCAAAGGGTGTCCCATTGAGGAGGAGGAGGAAAACTGACTTTCTGGAGCTCTAGAGACCAGGGCACAAAGGAGCAATGAGTTCAAATGGCAGGGAAAGAGATTGGACTGAAAATATTGTGAAAAACTTCCCGA